ATATATATATATATATATATATAGTTTGGAATATATATATATATTCCAAAAAAACAACAACCCCCAGCTTACTAACCAAGACCCCCTACCCAAGTACCTACTTACCCCTCCATCACAACAGAGACCTCCCCTCCCTGCTGCTGAAATCTTTTCTGATGTTGCCTGCTCGGTTGCTCCACATATACTTGGGGGAGTTACTACTGGAAAAGATTTTAGGGCTGAGGATGTTAAAAATGGGAGAAGCCTGCCCCCATCATGAAATCATAAGTGCCTAGGTAGGAGGAGGTGCCCTACTTAAAGCGGAACTACAACCTCCTGTCACTTACAGCCGAGGAAGGTGCCAATTTATCCTCTATGTGGATTGCACTTGCCATGGTTCTGCGCATGTGATCAGCTATGACACCAGCCATTTGCGGGTTTGAAAGTTTGGTTGAGAGCTGAAAAAAAGCACACTGGCAACCTTTATAGTTGGCATGCCTTAAAAGTACCTGTTTTGGGAGACATTAAATTGGTGGGTAAAGTGTAAGGTGCAGACACACTATATCTACTGTGTATATATATATTTCACTGCTTGTCTCAGTACAACCTCATCTTCATACAGGAAGTAGGAGAAAATCGGCAACTAAAACTCAGACAGCAACAAGGGTTCTATCCTTCCCATGCTTGACTAAGGGCTGAAACATGTAAGCGGGTGTTACTTTTATAGACTATGAAATAGATATACATTTGGAGGAGATTCCTTGTGCACTGCCACCCAGCTGGTAACATCTATTCTTCCCCTCCTCTACTAGAAGAAATTGGTGTTATTTGCATCTGCGTCCATGCTGGAGTTTTCCCCTCACTTCCTGTCCTAGTGACAAATAGTGATGGGCTCGGGCGTGTTCGCAAGCGCCTCGTGCCGAGCCCGCCAGGAAGCCGTCAGCGCGCAGGGCCAATCACAGGCACTGAGACATTTTCCCGGTCCACAGCTGCAGAGATCGGGAAATGTCTCAGTGCCTGTGATTGGCCCTGCGCGCTAACAGCTTCCTGGCCGGCTCTGCACGAGGCGCTTGCGAACACGCCCGAGCCCATCACTAGTGACAAAGTTATGACTGGCCAGGAAGTGAGGAGAAATCTCCTTGCTGTAGCCCCTGACAGCAGTAGAAAGCTGACCAGAATCTGATACTTCAACCACTTGTGTGCAAGCGGAAGAACATTATGGACGCTAACTTTTTTTGGTACCGCAGTGAGGGTCAGCCAGGTGTGGTATCTGTCTTGAACAGGACTTTTAAATGTAAGTAATGTTTAAAATTGCTGACAGGTTCACTTTAATTATTCCTGATGTGGTGATAACAACAAAGAAAAGACAGAAATAGTCCGGACTGCCAGAGTAAAGTTTAAACATATTTTGCTCACTCTTGCTGTGTCACTTTCATTTACTTTTTTGATTATATGTGTATTGTGCTTGCAGTGCCATAATGGATGGCATGGAACTCAGGAAACTGCGGAAGAAGCTGCGACAAATTGAAACTTTAGAACACCTACCTCGGGAACTGACCCCCTGTGAGACTGCAAAGGTACAGTATGACGGGGCCTTGAAGTGAGTTGAAACCTAATCATTAGAATCTTGTATACTACATAATAATACTTGGTGATTCTGTCATGAGCATTGATCTTCCATTGACACCCTATCACATACTCCCCAATGGAGACTAGAAGTGTCCATTACACAGACTTAGTTACCCTTGTCACCATCAGGAAGCTGGTCCAGAGCAATGGTGTCCTAGCTGGGGGGTCATGTAGATAGAAAGTAGCTGAAAGAGGCTGAAGGAAATCAGTATTAGCGAGATCTAAATGGAAAAAAAAACCATGGCAGTTGTATATGATACATAGGGGGGAATTTATCAAAACTGGAGCAGACAAAATCTGGAGCAGCTGTGCCTGGCAACCAATCACCTTCTCTCTTCAGTTTGTTCAGTTAAGATTTGAAAATGAAAGAGATAAGCTGATTGGTTGCCAGACACAGCTGCTCCAGATTTTGTCTGCTCCAGTTATGATAAATACCCTTCACTGTGCTTTAACAAACTCAATGTCATTCATTTGTAGCTTTACATCTACTTTAACGTGCAACTGTATACATTAATAGTTCAGATACACCACAGTGGGTGTTACCCATAGTATCTAATCAAAAATCAGTGTTAGAGTGCTTGACGTGCACATGTCTTTACTATGTAAACCAATCTCATGAGTCTAAAGCAGGCATCTACAGGTATCTGCAGTTATCGTTATAAATACTAGCAAAGGTGTGCCCTTTTCAGAAAGGGAAATGTTGGGGATATTACAAATAAGTGTCTTAGCAGGCAATACAAGCAGGGGAGGAGTGCAGTGGGTATGACAGAGGACAGTATGTGCAAAAAATATGGGGCAGATGGTATGACACTGGACAGAATGAGCAGGAGAGGGGTGCAGAGGGTATGGCAGTGGGAAGTATGTGCAGTAGAAGAGTCTGAAGGTATGACAGGGGACGTTATGTGCAAGAGAAGAGTGGAGAGTATGACAGTGGGAAGAACGGGTAATTTTTTTTTCCGTGATTGACAACAAATCACTAAAAAATATGGTCACAGCCATAAAAGTAATGAGAGGGTTGGAGAAATATGCCTCTTAATGCATTTTGGATCCATTTACAAAACTGAGTAATTATAGAGCAGCAGTATGGGCGATGAGCTCTTCACACAGAGGGTTTTGACAGAGATGGATTGGAAAGACCAATGTGTGTGTGTGTGTGTGTGTGTGTGTGTGTGTGTTGGAGGTGAGATACAGGGGACAGTTCAATGTGTGTGTGCTGGAGGAGAGATACAGGGGAAAAGACCAATGTGTGCGTTGAAGGAGGGATAGAGGAAAAAGGCCAATGTGTGTGTTGGAGGAGGGATACAGGGAGAAGACCAATGTATGTGTTGAATGCGGAATACAGGGGAAAGGCCAATGTGTGTGTTGGAGAAGGGATAGAGGAAAAAGTCCAATATATGTGCTGGGATACAAGATAAAGTCCAGTGTCTGCGCTGGAGGAGGGATATAGGGTTAAGACCAATGTGTGTGTGCTGGAGGAGGGATACAGAGTAAAGGCCAATGTGTGTGTGCTGGAGGAGGGATACAGGGTAAAGGCCAATGTGTGTGTGCTGGAGGAGGGATACAGGGTGAAGGCCAATGTGTGTACACTGGAGGAGGGATACAGGGTAAAGGCCAATGTGTGTACGCTGGAGGAGGGATACAGGGTAAAGGCTAATGTGTGTACGCTGGAGGAGGGATACAGGGTAAAGGCCAATGTGTGTACGCTGGAGGAGGGATACAGGGTAAAGGCCAATGTGTGTACGCTGGAGGAGGGATACAGGGTAAAGGCCAATGTGTGTACACTGGAGGAGGGATACAGGTAAAAGACCAATGTGTGTACGCTGGAGGAGGGATACAGGTAAAAGACCAATGTGTGTGTGCTGGAGGAGGGATACAGGGGAAAAACCAATGTGCGTGTGATTGTGGTGTGATATCACTGAAGATGGACCACGATCAGGATAATTTGCACAGTGGCAAATTGACAGTAGAACTGATAGGGTTATTCACAAAAGTGAAGGCAGGAGAAGGGAACAATCTAGGCCAAAATACCCGATTTGGAAAAATTCTAGAATTCAGCTCACTTTCCAGTTAAGCCATGTTGTCCTAAATTGTTCACTTCTTCTTCCTTCTCCAAACTCTTCACCCTTTTGTGAATAACCTTGTTAGAAATTATATAATTAAGGATCTAGATTTATCAGGGAGTTCTTTGTGCAATTTTCACCTTTGCATGGAAAGCCAAGCACTATAATATCCCTCTCAACTTCCAGACCACCACAGCATGGAATATATCAAGGACACCAGCACTGGTTTCATTGGCCCACCACCCTCCACATTTGGCCTTTTACTAAACGCAGGCTGTAATGACACTGTGGCTGTGCATCTTAAAACTGTATTTTGTTTTTCCTCCATCAATGTCACTGTGTATTAATTGATGTGATTTCTGTATTATTGTTGTGTATAGAGATGGTATGGGGATGGTTTTATAGTAGTTCTGTGTCTAACTTCTCTTTTATGTGTCTAGGTATTGCTTAAGGTGGAACTGCGCAGACACATAGAAGAAATATTGTCTCAAAATCTGGAACCAGAATCTGAGGATACTGGTACCAAAGAAAAAGAACATGGCAGGTCTGATGTTAAGAAATGTATTTTGTTGCTGTCTGATATGAATCCCAGTTCACCCAGAATTGATATATCAGTATTGCATAGTTCTTGGCAAGTTGAGTCACAAGGCGCTCTCTTATCTCTTGGTGATCCCAGTGGTGAGATTTCTCTATCAGAATTCCCAGGGAGATTTTACCAGGGTAATAAATCACCCTAATATTAAAGGAGAACTATGGGGTCAGTGTTTTTCCCCATAGTTCTCCTTAGGGTAACGGGAGGACACAAACTAGCGTCCTCCCGTTACCCTAAGCTGAGACGCCGCAGCCGGAGCGGATCCCGTCATCGATGTCGAGATCCGCCCAGCTGCGTGAGTGACAGCTGGCTCTGCCTATCTAGAGGCAGAACCAGCTGTACCCTCCCCCGTCCGTTTCGCCAGTCAGCGCTGGCGGATCAGAGCGGGGGGGGGAAATCCACCCCCCCTCCCCTGTCACGGCAGAGAGCTAGGATCGAGAGGTGAGCGAACCCGGTATGTGTTCGCTCACCTCCCGATCTACAGAGCCGACCTGTGACAGTCTCATTGTCACAGGTCGGCTAGAACTATGAGGTGAGTGAAAAGCACTCACCTCATAGTTCTCCTTTAACCTAACAGGTGATACCCTCTTCTACCCTGTTCTAGTAGCAGAGCCGCACTCCAGGCTAAATAAATATTGTCTAAATGCAAGAACCACGTGTATTTTTAAGTCTTGGGCCATTTTGTGTATAACTTTGTTATTTTTGACACTAGAGAAAAACGAGCAGTTAACCCTTGCAGTGTGGGGGTAGCCCACCTGCAAGGGTAATACAATTTTTACCCACAGTTGTCTTGTGTCTTTGTGTGTTTATCAGTTTTGTCCGTTTTTCCTTGCAGCTTGCAACCGTCTTTGCACCCGGAGCCTCCAGTGAAAAAGCACACTCCTCCTAAAACAGCCCCAAAACAGACGGCGGCTCAGCCTGCTCCAAAAGTAAAACTAAAGAGTCGAGGTGAGATGTGTGTCATATATTAAGAGGTTGCCTCTGATAAACTGTATAGTATACATGCAATGGACAGATTTGAAGCTGAATTCTATGCTGATATAGATATATATAAATTAAAGCCTATCTGCAGACAAAAAACTACCCTTGCAGTGGGGATAACATATTAAATTATTATTATTATTATAATAAATTAAATTAATAATTATATCTTTTTTAACCTATTAATGTATTGTATATAATTCTTTTTTAGTACTGGGTTTAATTCTTGTTCCCGTTTGTATTCTCTACATTGATTCTATCACTGTCACGGATTCATCTTTACTATTTCCACTTTTCTGGGCCTTCCCTTTGTCTTATGCACCTTGTGGTCTCAATACACTGCACTCCTTTCACTGCAACACCCTGTTCTGGGGCTTATTGTGTGTTTTCCCATAGGTCCACTACAGGACTCCCAGTTCCTTGTTCGCAGCTTGGAAGGCCACAGCGATTTGGTAACTGCTGTCCTTATCCATGACACATATATAATCTCTGGGAGGTGAGACAAGCAGACATCTTTAATAAAAATATACATTGATGGGGCTATTTATAAAAGTTTGCGAGGAAGGAAGCGGTGGAGAGTAAAGTAGGCAATATACACAGCAAATTTCGCCTAGTTCTTGATGCAAATCTCCCAAGAACAGCTTTATAAATAGGCGGAACAGTAAATTGCTGTTTTTTCCCCAGTGCGTAATATCAATTCAGACAGTTCCACCTATTTGTTACATAGTTACATAGTATTTGAGGTTGAATAAAGACATTAGTCCATCAAGTCCAACCTATTAGGATCTCATTTTAGGAGTACCTGTACCCCTGTATATTACGGTCCCTTAAGAAATCGTCCAAAAGTTTCTTGAACAATTCCACACTCTTTGCTGAAATCACCGCCTGTGGCAGTGAGTTCCAGACCCTAACTGATCTTACTGTGAAGAACCCCCTTCGCCCCTTGTGCTGGAATTTTTTTTCCACCAATTTTAGGTGGTGGCCTCTAGTTTTTGTAACGGAGTTAATTTTAAACAGTTTATCGCTAATGTTGCTACCACCATTGAACATCTTGTACATGGAGATCATATCCCCCCTTAATCTCCTCACCTCTAATGTGAACATGTTTACATTTAGTAGCCTCGTCTCGTAGCTCTGGTCCTCCATACCCCTAATTAGTTTGGTTGCCCTTCGCTGGACTTTTTCCAACTCAAGGACATCTTTTCTTAGTACTGGTGACCAGAACTGGACCGCGTACTCCAGATGAGTTCGAACCAATGATCTATAAATCATTGTGAAGCTTTTCTGGTGAGTTTTGCATCAAGAACTAGGCGAAATTTGCTGTGTATATTGCCTACTTTACTCTCCACCTATCATTATTCTGTGTTTTGAATCTCATGCCATTATAGGTGAAATATGCAGTTTTAATCTAATTAGGCTTGTAATATCACAATATTTTGTCTCCCAGTGAACTATGGCCTACTGGGACATGTGACACTGCTATCCCAGGAGGGTGCGGCAGCACATCAGTACGTCACCCTCACATAGACGAGGAATGAGAAGAGTGCAACACTGTCAAAAAGTGTTTTTTTTTTAAAATGTATTCACCTGCAGGGAATGCAGTGAAGTATGTGCAAGAGGGAGGGGGGGGGAGGAAGAATATTAGAAGTTCATTTACTGATGCAAGGTCCACTTTTAGGGGTGTTAAAGTTTTTAAATGTGGCTAATAAGATGTAAAAGAGCTTTAAAACAAGCTAATCACTGACCTATGTAGCTGCATTTACTGAGAAGTAGTTCATCCTAAAAGATAACCCCACCATAAAGCTGCATTTCAGCTGTTTTCTAGCAGTTTACAGGACCTGATGTGTGTTTCTATTAGGGAGTAGGCAGACTGCCAAAATTATTATTTCTTATTACAGGTATTTATAGGGCCCCGACAATTTACACAGCACTTTACATAGTGCACATTCACATCAGTCCCTGCCCTCAAGCAGCTTACAATCTAAGGTCCCTATCTCACATGCATACATACGAGGGCCAATTTAGACAGGAGCCAATTAACCTCTTGCCGTCCGCCCGTAGTAAAAAAACGGACGGACGGCACTGCTACATCTGCGGGTTGCCGTCTCCAGACGGCAATTTTTTTCTGCTCGCGCGCGCCCCCTAGCGGGCACGCACGGGCAGAAAAGACCCGACGATTAAACACACGCGTTACCGGGTGTTTCACATATAGGCGATCAGCGGGTCCATAGCCCGCCGATCGCCTATATGTGCTCGTTCGCGGCATGTGTATTACATCACTTCCGCATTCACCAGTCAGTCATCTGGCTGCTATTGCCAGAGAGAAGAAGCTGATAAAGCAGATCTCTGCTTCATCAGCTTCTTTTGGGGTCCACAGGTGATATTAGGGGTCCTAGAGACCCCTAATATCTCCATAAAGAGGACCTGTCAGTGTGCCTTTGCTATTATATAGGGGGTTGTTATCCCCCCATATAATAGCAATAACAATCAGTGCAAAAAAATAAATATAAATAAAAATAAATAAAAGTAAAATAAAATAAT